ATGCTAGCTCAGCTCGGGGAGCTGGGAGGATGCTGCTTCGGTGCTGCAGACATGGCTTCCTCACTAGGAGGGAAAGGTGAGGTTGGAGCAGGGATAGGAAAGGGCAGAGCACACAGCAAAAGGGACAGCTGCGCCCTCCTAAACAGGCAAGGAAAGCAGCGGGCGGTGTGGCTTTGCGAAGGGTGCCCTCCCTGACCCAATCCCATCCATATTAACATCCTATTTTAGGAGTCTTTCATCAAGGGACCAAGCAGGGCTTTGCAAATTCAACCCTCCCCGCCTTACTCCCACCCACAAGATAGGTTGGCACGAGCCTTATGCACGCAGACTGAATAGAGAGATTTGGATACAGGCCCGCGTCGGCATTCAGAGTCAGGACCAGATCCGAGGAGTCAGCATCATTCCCCGCTGGGCTGCTGTAAAGGACCCTCTCTGTTCCCAAGTCTTATACTACTCTCTCTTTCCTCTAGCCATTAGACCAGGGGTGGGCAAAATGCAGCCCAGGGGCCAGATGTGGCCCACCAGGCCATTCTATCTGGCCCGTGGGGCCCCTAAAAAATTTAGGGAATTAATATTTATCTGCCCTTGGCTGCCTATCATGCGGTCCTCGATGGCTTGCCAGAACTCAGTAAGCGGCCGTTCACCCAAAATAATTGCCCACCCCTGCATTAGACAGTCCCAGCTCCCAGGTTTGTATCAACCCTGAACTCAGCCCAGCTTTGTCAAAAAAGAAGAGAAAAAGAAAAGAAAAGAAAAAGAAGAAAGCATTGCCAGGTTCTGAATCTCGCCACTTCCCCTACCCATGAGGTGCTGGAGAGGATGCATCTAATCAGTCTAAACCAAGTGAACTTTGTGGTAACAGCTGCTGCATGAACTTCCGCACCGCACAGGAACAGTGGATCTCCACAGTGCTCCAGGCATGACACCCTTTAGCAGCCTCCAAACATTTATTCGGATGACACAATAAGCAACGGAGGCAATTTATTCTGGCTGAGACATAAGCCGTCATTTGAGAGCATGCATTACAACACACGTTGTATCACTCTATAATAAGTTTCAGACACACACAGACCATGAGCAAGCCCAAACAGAAAAGGAGTTTGCACATTTAACTAATTAGTGACATTAACATAATACAGGGGTGATCTTGAGGTTTGAGACCCCAGGCTGCCCGTTCCCATGAAAAGGGTTGGGCAGGCTCTGTAATTAAACCCTGAATCTACAAATGCCAGTACACGTGAGTAGCTCTCTTCCCACTGAAGTCCAGGGGAAGCCTTGGGTGATTCAAGATTGCAAAACCAGGCTTGATATTCGCCTCCGCTTTTGTAATCCAAGGACAACACTTAGTCCCATACACTGCATGGCATGCTGACTCAAGTCAATAGAAACTGCATAGGCACAGATGAAAGGAAGCTATAACTCCATGCCAGACAGATACGGACACCTGCACCTTTGCACTGTTGGCTAAGCAGCTATGAACCACAGATGCCCTCCACATTACCTGCCATCACCAGCAGCCCACAGATGTGGTTTTCCCATGGCTAAAAGGAACCTCGTGGTCCAGCCCCTCTCTAGGAGAGGGATAAAGGAGGAGTGGAAAAATCTGTCCAGGACAAGTAAAAATTACTGCCATCTAGAAAGTGCCCAATCAGAAATAGGTTTTCCTTCCAGAAAATGCAGATTTGGTCTAAAAGTGAAACTGTGTTGCAGAAATTCACCATTTTCATGAACCTTTGTCAAGAAAGGATCCTGCTCCAAAATGGGATTTCCAGACAAAACCAGGGAAGGAGCACCCCTACTTCAGAATAGCCAAGAGCCCAGTGGTTGGGGAACTCGCTCGGGACGTGGGAGACCCAGATCCAAAAAGCGTCTGGGAGCTTGTGAAGAAGCACAAACAAGACAGCAGCAGAGAAAGGCTTTTCTGGCAGGGGCATTGTAAGACTCTTCCTCCCAGAGATCTCCAGAGAGGATCATTATGAAACGCTCACAGCAAGGACTTGATGTTGGGTCCCTCAACCCTTGAACTCTTGGTTCTTCAGGGGCAGGAAGGGAGTCTCTTTTTGCAGAAAGCATCACAAGCCTCCCTATTCCCTATTCACTTCAGTGCAGAATTGGAAGCTTTTCACAGGCTGGAAAACCAATTCCCACCCAGCTCTGCTGAACACTCTGGCTGCCCATAAGCATGCTTTCTGAATGACAAAGTCTCCTTATTACAACATGCAGACAACACCCTCTCCCTCGCAGGCTTCCACCAAAAGGCCTCCTGCAATGCTCACCCATGTTGGGATTCACACCATGCTAGCGCTCTCCATGTCCCACCAGCATGCAGCTTCAGTTAAACCACAGCAGGAGCTTGGACAGTAGCATTTGGCCTTCCCTTCACAAGTTATTCCTCATCCACACCACTCCCCTGCACCCAAGAAAACACTGACTTGCACTGGAATAAGCTGCTAAGGGTGCGAGTCACTTTTTTTTTTTTTTTTTTTTTTTTTTTT